GCCATCGGCGGCGTGTCCCCCCCCTGGTGGGTGACATCCCCGTGTGTGTGTCCCCCCCGGTGGGTGACATCCCCCTGTGTGTCCCCCCCCGGTGGGTGACATCCCCGTGTGTGTGTCCCCCCCGGTGGGTGACATCTCCGTGTGTGTCCCTCCCCAGTGGGTGACATCCCCGTGTCCCCCCCGGTGGGTGACATCCCCGTGTGTGTGTCCCCCCCAGTGGGTGACATCCCCGTGTGTGTGTCCCTCCTGGTGGGTGACATCCCCGTGTGTGTGTCCCCCCCGGTGGGTGACATCCCCGTGTGTGTGTCCCCCCTGGTGGGTGACATCTCCGTGTGTGTCCCCCCCGGTGGGTGACATCCCCGTGTCCCCCCTCCCCCCCAGTCTCTGGACCTGCAGAAACCCATCGACAAGCGCATTTACAAGGGGACGCAGCCGACGTGTCACGACTTCAACCAGTTCACGGCCGCCCCCGACACCATCGCCCTCCTGGTGGGCTTCTCCGCCGGGCAGGTCCAGTGCCTCGACCTCGTTAAGAAGGACGCCAGCAAGCTCTTTAACGAGGAGGTGAGACGCTGGGACACCCAGCCGTGCTCGTCAGGGGCCGTTCCTGGTGGCTGCTGCACCCTCACACGGATGTGGGGCCCCAAATCTCCCTTTTTTTTGGCTCTTTGCCCTTAGAGACGCCCCAGGGTTGTGCCGCGGCGCTTGCTTGGGTCTCCAAACGTCCCCGTTTCTGTCCCCAAAGTCCCCATTTGTGTCCCCAAACGTGCTGGTTTGGACTTTGTCCTCAGTGACACCCTGGGGGCTGCACCGTGGCACAGAGTTGGGTCCCAAATACACCGATTCGGGTCCCCAAAATTTCTCTTTTTTGGCTTTGCCCTGAGTGACACCCCAGGGTTGTGCTCCAGCACCCACTTGTGTCCCCAGACATCACCCGTTCCTGTCCCCAATGTCCCTTTTTGTGTCCCCAAACGTGCTGGTTTGGACTTTGTCCTCAGTGACACCCTGGGGGCTGCACCGTGGCACAGATTTGGGTCTCCAGATATGCCAATTTGCGTTCCCAAAATGTCTCTTTTTTGGCTTTGCCCTCAGTGACACCCCGGGGTTGTGCTTCAACACCCACTTGTGTCCCCAGATGTCACCTGTCACTGTCCCCAAAGTCCCCATTTGTGTCCCCAAACGTGCTGGTCCACTCTCTGCCCTCGGTGACACCCCAGGGCTGCACCATGATTGGTGCAGATCTTGGTGACCCAGATTTGGGTCCCCAAATGTCCCTTTTTTGGCTTTGCTCTTAGTGACACCCCGGGGTTGTGCTCCAGCACCCACTTGTGTCCCCAGACGTCACCCGTTCCTGTCCCCAAAGTCCCCATTTGTGTCTCCAAATGTGCTGATCTGGGCTCTGCCCTCGGTGACACCCCGGGGCTGTGCCGTGGAATAGATTTGGGTCCCCAAATGTCTCTTTTTTTGGCTTTGCCCTCAGTGACACCCCGGGGTTGTGCTCCAGCACCCACTTGTGTCCCCAGATGTCACCCGTTCCTGTCTCCAAAGTCCCTTTTTGTGTCCCCAAATGTGCTGGTTTGGACTTTGTCTTTTGTCCTCAGTGACACCCTGGGGGCTGCACCGTGGCACAAAGCTGGGTCCTCAAATACACTGATTTGGGTCCCCCAAATGTCCCTTTTTTGGCTCTGCGCTTATTGACACGCCGGGGTTTTGCTCCAGCACCCACTTGTGTCCCCACACGTCACCCCTTCCTGTACCCAAAGTCCCCATTTGTGTCCCCAGATGTGCTGGTCCGTGCCCTGCCCTCGGTGACACCCCGGGGCTGCACCGTGGAATAGATTTGGGTCCCTAAATGCTCCTTTTCTTCCTTTGCCCTCAGTGACACCCCAGGGTTGTGGTTCAGCACCCACTTGTGTCCCCACACGTCACCCCTTCCTGTACCCAAAGTCCCCATTTGTGTCCCCAGACGTGCTGGTCCGTGCCCTGCCCTCGGTGACACCCCGGGGCTGCACCGTGGAATAGATTTGGGTCCCTAAATGCTCCTTTTCTTCCTTTGCCCTCAGTGACACCCCAGGGTTGTGGTTCAGCACCCACTTGTGTCCCCACATGTCACCTGTTCCTGTCCCCAAAGTTCCTTTTTGTGTCCCCAAACGTGCTGGTTTGGACTTTGTCCTCAGTGACGCCCTGGGGGCTGCACTGTGGCACAGAGTTTGGTCCCCAAATATGCCGATTCGGGTCTCCAAAATGTCCCTTTTTTGGCTTTGCCCTCAGTGACACCCCGGGGTTGTGCTTCAGCACCCACTTGTGTCCCCACACGTCACCCCTTCCTGTACCCAAAGTCCCCATTTGTGTCCCCAGATGTGCTGGTCCGTGCCCTGCCCTCGGTGACACCCTGGGGCTGCCCCATGGAATAGATTTGGGTCCCCAAATGTCTCTTTTTTTGGCTTTGCTCTTAGTGACACCCCAGGGTTGTGCTTCAGCACCCACTCGTGTCCCCAGACGTCACCCGTTCCTGTCCCCAAAGTCCCCATTTGCGTCCCCAGACGTGCTGGTCCTCGGTGACACCCCGGGGGCCGCCAGCCTGTGTCCCCAGTGGTGCCTGGGGGGGCCTCCTCCCACCTCTCCCCCCTCTCCCACCTCCCCTTTTCCCCCCTCCTCTCCCCCCAGCGCCTGATCGACAAGACCAAGGTGACCTTCGTCAAGTGGCTGCCGGAGACGGAGCGGCTCTTCCTGGCGTCCCACGCCAGCGGCCACCTCTACCTGTACGATGCTGAGCAGCCCTGCGGGGGGGCCGCCCCCCAGTACAACCTCCTGACGCGGGGGGAGGGCTTCAGCGTCTTCGCCTGCAAGAGCAAGACCCCCCGCAACCCCCTCCTCAAGTGGGCGGTGGGCGAGGGGGCCCTCAACGAGTTCGCCTTCTCCCCCGACGGCCGCTCGCTGGCCTGCGTCAGCCAGGACGGCTGCCTGCGCGTCTTCCACTTCGACTCCATGCTGCTGCAGGGGATGATGAAGAGCTATTTCGGGGGGCTGCTCTGCGTCTGCTGGAGCCCCGACGGCCGTTACGTGGTGACGGGGGGCGAGGACGACCTGGTGACCGTCTGGTCCTTCGCCGAGGGGCGGGTGGTGGCCCGCGGTCACGGCCACAAGTCTTGGGTCAACGCCGTGGCTTTCGATCCCTTCGCCAGCGGGGCGCAGAGCCCCCAGCCCCCCGAGCTCAGCGGGGGCGAGGAAGAGGAGGAGGAGGAGCCCCCCGACCCCCTGGCCCGCCGTTCGGCCCCCGTCACCTACCGCTTCGGCTCGGCCGGCCAGGACACCCAGTTCTGCCTGTGGGACCTCACCGAGGACGTCCTCTACCCCCGGCCCCCCCTCTCCCGTGCCCGGACCCTCACCGGATCGGCAGACGCCGGCGTCGCGGCCGTGCCGGGGCTGCCCCGTTCCCTCTCCCGTTCCAACAGCCTCCCGCAGCCGGGGGGGACGGGCTCGTCCCGCGTCCCCCCCCCCGACATCCCCCCGGCCCTCAGCGTCGGCCGCTTCGCCACCCTGACGCTGCAGGACCGCAAGGGCCCCCCCGGCCCCGAAAAAGAGCACAAACGCTACCACAGTTTGGGCAACATCAGCCGGAGCGGGGAGAAACCCCCCGGGGGTGCCGGCTCCCGGGGGGGGAGGCTGGACACGGCCAAAGTGCTGGGGACGGCGCTGTGTCCCCGGATTCACGAGGTGCCGCTGCTGGAGCCCCTGGTCTGCAAGAAGA